CCCCCCTGCCCCCGTATATAAAGGAGCAAGGGGGAGGCCGGCCGGCCCAAGGGGGGCGCGCCAGGGAGGAGGAATCCTCCTCCTAGTAGGAGTAGGACTCCTCCTTTCCTACTCCTACTAGGAGGAGGAAGGAAGGGGGAAAGGAGGAAGGAAGAAGGGGGGCGCCGCCCCCTCCTCCTAGTCCAATTCGGACCAGAGGGGGAGGGGGGCGCGGCCCATGCTGGCCGCCCCTCTCTCCTTTCCCCTATGGCCCATAAGGCCCATTACTCTCCCGGGGGGGTTCCGGTAACCCTCCGGCACTCCGGTTTTCTCCGAAATCACCCGGAACACTTCCGGTGTCCGAATATAGTCGTCCAATATATCAATCTTTATGTCTCGACCATTTCGAGACTCCTCGTCATGTCTGTGATCACATCCAGGACTCCGAACAAACTTCGGTACATCAAAACTTATAAACTCATAATAAAACTGTCATCGTAACGTTAAGCGTGCGGACCCTACGGGTTCGAGAACTATGTAGACATGACCTAGAACTATTCTCGGTCAATAACCAACAGCGGGACCTGGATGCCCATATTGGTTCCTACATATTCTACGAAGATCTTTATCGGTCAAACCGCATAACAACATACATTGTTCCCTTTGTCATCGGTATGTTACTTGCCCGAGATTTGATCGTTGGTATCCAATACCTAGTTCAATCTCGTTACCAGCAAGTCTCTTTACTTGTTCTGTAATGTATCATCCCGTAACCAACTCATTGGTCACATTGCTTGCAAGGCTTATAATGATGTGCATTACCGAGAGGGCCCAGAGATACCTCTCCGACGATCGGAGTGACAAAACCTAATCTCGAAATACGCCAACTCAACATGTACCTTCGGAGACACCTGTAGTACTCCTTTATAATCACCCAGTTACGTTGTGACGTTTGGTAGTACCCAAAGTGTTCCTCCGGTAAACGGGAGTTGCATAATTCTCATAGTTACAGGAACATGTATAAGTCATGAAGAAAGCAATAGCAGTATACTAAACGATCAAGTGCTAGGCTAACGGAATGGGTCATGTCAATCAGATCATTCAACTAATGATGTGATCCCGTTAATCAAATAACAACTCTTTGTCCATGGTTAGGAAACATAACCATCTTTGATTAACAAGCTAGTCAAGTAGAGGCATACTAGTGACACTTCGTTTGTCTATATATTCACACATGTATTATGTTTCTGGTTAATACAATTCTAGCATGAATAATAAACATTTATCATGAAATAAGGAAATAAATAATAATTTTATTATTGCCTCTAGGACATATTTCCTTCACTTAGTACATCATTAGAGCTTATATATGTTATTTTGGTATATTCATGAGACTTCCACTCTACTATTGCATTAGTAATTTTCATTGACCTATATTACATCATTAATTGTAATTGGAGTATAATTATATGTTTGCTCATGGTGCTTTAGGTCAAGATGTTTGGTATATGCTCATCTTGTGGAGTTAAACTTTTAGCTAATAACCAAAATGTTTCCTTTTCCAGGATTCTCCTATGATGGAAGAAGTTCTAATCATCTTACAGTCAAGGGTTAGGGCAGATAAACTCACAAAAATATTTATTTGGATCTTTCCGTTGTGAAGTGCCATTTTTTCTACTTGTACTTTGTAGGCAGTGTTATTGATTTGTTTTCAATCTCAGTATGCCATCTATCCGAATTTTGTATCGCTTGCATAGTGCCTAATATCATGAGCCAATTCTAATATTATTTATAGAGCTTTCATATTATCATTTGGATGATGGAGCCTGTCAAGTATTGTCCACTACCGATTGCATTAGCTTCGCCTCAGAACGTGGAAAGAGGAACTAGAGCTATCAATACTACTATAGATATCGATGTTTCCAGAGCATTGTTTCCAATTGTCTGTTATCTCATTGTGTTTATGAGCAGATACAACATCTCTTGTGAGACTTAGTCTTACACTTGCTGATATAAACTACTTGGCAATATTTATAGAATGTATGTCTTTCTGTTTCTACTACTCGATACAAATCAGTTGTCCTCGGCAAACATTGTGGCTTGCTTTTGCTACAAGTTTTGCCTCTATGAACTTTAGTTTTGTGGTTATCGTGGGCAACAATTACACTTTGGTTTTGGTATATATTTAATCTACATGCCCTATATTTAGTTATCCTGGGCAACAACTATACCTTGCTCATGGGCAACAATTACACTTTGGTTTTGGTATATATATTTAATCTATATGGCCTATGTGTAGTTATCCTGGGCAACAACTATACCTTGCTCTTGATGCATCTTTATAGTGTTTGTGATACATACTGAACACATTATTCTGGGCGGTTATTATAATTTCTTTTGGATGTTCTAAACGCTTTGCGATATTAAAGTTTTAGTCGCTGGGTCAATGAGGCAACACCCGCAAGGCGCGCTTCCGATCTTAGCATTAGACCAAAATGTTTAGACCGGCACCTTTGAGCCTGCTTTCGATCTTTGCATTAACTACTTGACCAAAACATTGGGACCGGCACCCTCGTGCAAGGCGATGAGTGTTCGAGGTTTCTCAGGTTGCAGCGTTAAGCGAATACCGATATTTGTAGTTACATTCTATCTGACATCTATTACACGTTTGACCAAAACGTTCGGACAGGCACCCTCGCGCCAGGGCGCGTTGCCGATCTAGTACACACATGAATGAAGCGGATTTTAGCGACATGGTGGTAGCAATGGGCCCAAGTTCCATGTGCAATGAGTCATTTTAGCCATGTGGGCCATGGTGTTTCGTACTAGCATAGAGAAAGTTTTCTTTCTTACAACAAAATGAACCTTACTATCTAGCAAACACACTCAGGGCTCCATTGATTCAAAGAAAATTGTATAGGAATTTTGGAGGATTTGGATCTTTAGGAATATTTAGTATCATGATTGTTTGATTAGAATGATTGGAATCCTTAATACTCCCTCCGTTTCGAATTACTTGTCGCGCGTATGGATGTATCTAGATGTATTTTAATTCTAGATATATCCATTTCGGCGACGAGTAATTTGGAACGGAGGGAGTATTTTCCTCTAGAGGATTCATTTGTGCTATATTTTAGAGGAAAACTTCCGTCCACTCAAACCTATTGATGTGATGTCTTTGTTTTTTCTATGGTATCAAACACTCTCCCATCATGATATATGGTCTTGCATATTTTTTCTACCTACGTTTTGAGATGCGAATCAAAGAGGCCCTTAAATCATTCAGTAATATATATGAACAATATAAAGCAAAGAGGTCAATAAGCTGTGAAGCTATTAAAGAAAACACTAGTCAAAGGTCGAATTCTCCTAACCGTATATAATAATAACATAGGACTAGCTAGCCGCCATCCATTAAATTAGACTCTTGTTTAAAATTAAACCCAAGTTATCAACAGGGCTAGCGAACAACGCGCTAACCACCTGACACATGTACCACAGTTGTGTACATGTACATAAATTGCTCTCAACATCTGCATCGTACGGTCAGTGTACACATCTATAAAATTATCACAAAAGTGTGGTCTATTTGCTATGATATACTATAATAATGGTTGTGTATACAGTTGTACAAACCTTACATGAAAATGGTGCCGGCGGAGAGATTAATTTTATTTGTCACTACTTAGTCAAATAAATCTTTTTCCTCACTCACTCACCGTGGACCTATGGAGTTATAACTCCCCACGATCGATAATAGTACTATAATTTAGCAACTAGAATTCGTTAGATCTTGATAACATTCTTACATTGATTTGATTGATGAAGTTTACTAGATGAAATATGTGTTTAGTGATTAATTAACACCTGATAGAGCGCAAATCAATCACCCTTCGCAATTCCTCATAGGAAACTTCAACTTACATGGTTAGCTAGTACAGTACGTACATAACCTTTGACTAATATTTCATGTACTCAACTTGTCCGTTTGTTATTTGAAGGAACGGTTTTCTATACCCAACATTGATCTGTCAAGTATACAAAAAAAGGTTTAAATTAGGTCTTCTCTAACCAGCATCGTGGACTTTCAGAATCCTACAAAACTCTATGAATACGCTAATTAAATTAGGCTCCTGGATTAGGACAATGGTGAAAAGCTGGGTGCATGCATGGTGCGTGAACTGTCGTCCATGGCGGCGGACCCGTCCATACGTTGAAGGTCAAGAAGCAAGAGTTGACTGCGTAAAACAGAAGGACTTGGTATAGCAAGAGAAGATGAGCTGATTGAATATATGTTAACCGAACCCAGTGGTGACCTTCCTGCCTGCTCACTGATCTCAGCCTTGTAACAACGTACGTACACCCGTTAGTAGGAGGATGATGCATTTTCCTTCGCTATATATACACACACACACACACACATCGTCTTCTTCCTTCTCCGAATAGCAGAGCACAACATTCATCCATCCATCCAGACGTCCTCTCTTCTCCAACAACTCACCTCACACTACACTTCTCCATGCCTCCTTTCCTCTACATATTACTCGGGCTTCTCTTACTCTCGCACACAGCTCCTCGATGCTCTTCCGCAAGGGACACTCGTGGCAGGCCAAGTGCTTGCTGCCATCGGTGGCAGCAAGCTCGTCTCAAGAAACGGCAAGTTCGCGCTGGGCTTCTTCCAGCCAGCTAACGCTGCCTGCACCATCAGCGGTAGTAAGTTCCACCACAACACCAGCTCCAGTTGGTACCTTGGCATATGGTTCAATAAAATCCCAGTTTTTACTACTGTGTGGGTAGCTAATAGGGAGGAGCCCATCACACATCCCAAACTCAAGTCAACACAGCTCAAGATCTCAAGTGATGGAAATCTTGTCATCGTCGTAAACCATGCTGATGCCGGCAAGGAATCAGTTGTTTGGTCCACTCACATTGTCAATAGGACACAAACCAACAACAAAAACAGTAGTGCCATTGTTCTCTTGAACAGTGGAAACCTTGCCCTACTCACAAATAGCCAAGAGATGTTGTGGCAGAGCTTCGACTACCCAACAGATGTTTTGCTTCCCGGCGCCAAGTTTGGTCGGAACAAGGTCACCGGCTTGAGTCGTTCAATCATTTCAAAGAAGAGCCTCACTGATCCATGTCTTGGCTCATATAGTGTTGAACTAGAAGGCACCAGCGGGATCGTCCTCAAGCGCCGCAACGACCCTTCCGTAGTGTATTGGCAATATGCATCATCTAAACAATCATCATTGATACTCAAGTCACTGGTATATTTGGATCCTCTGGCCAAACGATTGATTAACCCAACATATGTTAATAATAACCAAGAGGAGTACTACATGTACACTTGTTTGGATGATTCATCTTCCATATTTGCGTCACTAGATATCTCTGGTCGGATAAAACTAAACTTTTGGTCGCAAACCAAACAGTCTTGGGAAACCATACATGCCCAACCTTACGATCCATGCACTACTCCTGCTCCATGCGGACCTTTCACAGTCTGCAACAACAATGCATATCGATTATGTGATTGTATGGAGGGATTCTCTAAGAAGTCACCGGTGGATTGGGAGTCTAATGATCGGACAGGAGGATGCATCCGAAATACACCACTACATTGCAGCACTAGTGACAAAAACATGACAAGTTCAACAGATGTGTTTCACCGCATTGCTCGAGTGAAGTTGCCTTACAAGCCCCAAATAATAGTCGTTGTTAGCAGTCAAAGAAACTGCGAAGAAGCTTGCCGCAGTTCCTGCTTATGCACTGCTTATTCCTTTACCAATCAACTATGCTCTATCTGGAATGGAGAATTGCTTAGTGTAAATCTAAATTATGGCACTGATAATAGAGCTGAAGATGTTCTTTACGTTCGCCTTGCCACAAAATATTTTCTACCAAGTTTGAGAAAAAACAAAAGAAAACCAAATGTTGGAGTTATTTCTGCTGCAAGCATTATTGGTTTTGGATTAATAATGCTCATAGTGTTGTTACTGATTTGGAGGAACAGATTCAAGCGGTTTGGTTTGCCTTTATATGATAATCAAGGCAGTTGTGGAGGGATTATGGTCTTTAGATACACTGATTTAGTGCATGCTACTAGAAACTTCTCAGAAAAGCTAGGAGGGGGTGGTTTTGGTTCTGTATACAAGGGAATACTAAGTGATGACATGACTAGTATAGCAGTGAAAAGGCTTGATAGTGCCTATCAAGGAGAGAAGCAATTCAGGGCAGAGGTGAGCTCAGTTGGGTTGATCCAACATATCAACATAGTGAAATTGATTGGTTTCTGCAGCGAAGGTGATAAAAGGCTACTTGTGTATGAACACATGTTAAATGGATCTCTTGATGGCCATCTATTTAAGAAGGACAATGGTAATGTTGGTGTCCTAAGTTGGAACACCAGATATCAAATAACCCGTGGGGTTGCGAGAGGATTGTCCTACTTGCATCATAATTGTCATGAATGCATCATACATTGTGATATTAAGCCAGAGAATATACTTGTAGATGCAACATTTGTTCCCAAAGTTGCAGATTTTGGGTTGGCAACATTAGTGGGAAGGGATTTTAGTCGAATCCTGACCACATTAAGAGGAACTGCAGGCTATATTGCCCCAGAGTGGCTTAGCGGAGTTGCTATTACACCAAAAATTGATGTTTATAGCTTTGGCGTGGTACTTTTGGAAATCTTATCTGGAAGTAGGAATTCACAAGAAACATACAATACTAGTGAGAGCTACTATGTCAAATATTTTCCAATTCAAGCCATCAACAAGCTTCAGGGTGGTGACGTTGGAAGTTTGGTGGACCCAAAATTACATGGTGACTTCAACTTGGAAGAGGCTGAACGGATTTGCAAAGTTGCATTTTTGGTGCATCCAAGATAATGAGTTTGATCGACCAGCGATGGGTGAAGTGATCAAGATTCTCGAGGGTCTGCGGGAGATTGATATGCCCCCGATGCCGAGACAACTTGCTGCTATGAAGGAACACTATGATGCAACATCTTCAATGTACATAGTAAACATGCATAGTCAATGTGCCTAATGTTGTTGCAACAAATTTTAAAATTGTAATCTAGGGGGAGGAATCAAAGGAATGCAAGATTGTAGTATCTGAATTGGCTCTTATTTGATGCCAATTTTTTTGTATGCAAGTATTGTTACAAAAGTATGTCCCTAGTAGAAATATGTGTATGGTATGTTGAGATGATAAATATATACACCATGTACACGATATGAGTATTTTTCACTTTCATTATCTCACCTGCACAGATCTCGGGAAAGGTATATAGATGTAATAGCATCCATCGAGGCGCAATTCAAAAATGTTAAAATATATCTATGTCACTACCCATTCTTCATCCTCTAGTCAACAACAGGAATCAGTTCCAGCTATGCTCCTTCGAGCGCCCAGCAGTGAAGACCGAAGATGGACCTGGAAAGGGATGGATGACGTTGAGAGATGGGGTGCCATGAGGTTGTCTTATCTTCAACCTAAGCCACCACTCGAACACTCCTGTCAAAGCGAGCGGAGTCTCGAGGCGACCTTATCTTTGATCCGAGCCAGTAGTCGAGATGCTCCATTCATGGCCTCACTCAACATAGGATTAAACCGCACACTAACGAGGCAAGAGAATCCATTAAAAACATAGATATTTTGAATTTTTCTTGTTGTACGGCGGCCTTCACGTAAGACCCACATACACATACCCGCCGAGTTTACTTCACTAACAATGATATACCCTCTACGCTCAAATTATTTCCACTACAATCATGATAGCTAAAATATTGCTCTCTAAAAAAGCAGCAACAACATCAACTATCCGATCACAATAAACAACATTGGGCTCTATGAAGCTAGTAAAACATCAGGGATCAATGAAAGGCTAAAAAAATCATTTTCAAAAATGGAAAATAATAGATAATTCACATCCCATGTGAGAAATAGAATTGCGAACTATCGAACTAAAGATTATTCATGTTCAGGAAGATGACTGGCGATGTTACGGCCTAGGGGTGCCTGCTCATACCGGAAGCCTACCCAAGTAGGATGGCCCGTGGCCCCCTAGGTCGGTTTATGGCCTGGGCTGATGTCCCAGCCTATGAGCCCTATAGAAAGAAGGACCCGGAAGACTTGGAACACAAGACAAGGAGGCCGACATCCAGGAGGACTCCTCTGTTATCTTTATCGATTAGGATCTTGTAAACCCTAGACCCAAGTATCCTTTATAAGTCGGGGGAGGGCTAGTTGGTAGACGAAGAACTTAGAGACTATTCTCAATCCCTCGATCATCATTGTACACCCATATACATCAATTAATACAATTTGAGTAGGAAGTAGGGTTTTAACTCAATCCCGAGGGCCTAACCTGGGTAAACCATCTCATGTTTTCCCTCTAATCTATTTATCTAGTCGATACACCCTATCGGGGGATCTGCCAAAAATCAGTCCAACAACGACGATGTTCCTAGATTATTCAAGGTCATTGCTCATCACTGCATTCCTAAGAGTCACATGAATTTCAAGCATCACACAACCCATACCTACATCAGCCACAAATTGCAATGCAGGACCCTGAGACGAGATTCAGTTTTCGCATGAAGAGCGTCTTAAATGATGTTGAACCCCTCCGTTCTCGTGCCCTACTCATTGCGAATGCAAAATCCCTGAACTTTTTTTCTTCTAAAAAGGCTCGCATATTGATCTTTGGTAATTTCCTGGGTCGGGCATCCGGTGAGGCACAATAGTATCACGAGGAGTCAAGAGAGTAGACATGTCTAGATGTTTAGACAATTCAATAAGGGGAGGTGTCGTGGATGCCTCAGCTAATGTGCCTCTATTTACCCCGACTTGTTTTATTGATTAATTCTATGAACACATGAAAATAGGCAATGTCTGGGCCCTGGGGGGCTCCATAATCCAATAATAACAACAACTCAAATGATGATTGTCACCTTAGCTAAAGCATGTGCCTCAAAGTTTGACCCTCTAACTCAATTTTTAAACCTTGCCTCATCGAAGGTCTCTCGTCATTTGGATCTCTCCTCAACCACCATGCCAAAAGTACTTCATGAATAATTATGATCACCTGTATTAACCTCCCCATAATGAATGCAACAAAAAAGGACACAATGTGCCTCTGTTTTAACTTCCTCTCTGAGGTCAGTAGCTGTTGTCCGTTATTCATTCCGGTTTTTGATATTCTGAGGTATAAAAACTAAATCTAGATAATCTAACAGCCATACATGCGGACAGAGATAGAGCAAACTTTTCCATAAAATATGTCTAGTATTTGACTTCCTACTTTCAGAGTGAAAGGGAAATATCCTCAAGTTGATGACGATAAGGGTCAGGAGAATGGTGTTGTAAATACCTCGGCTTCCCATGTTTATGTCACTCACTACATTCTAGAAATCTGAAGCAATATTTGCTTTCGTGATGTTAAGATCAAAGGCGAGATTCAAAGCATCGCGTCATACCATAGCTTCCATGATCGAAAGATCATGCATTCCCATCAACAACCACGTTTCTTGGGGACTAGTTAAACTAGGTCATCCTGTGGAAAAAGCCAAGAATGAATAAGCATTGAGGATGGGCTCCTTCAGATGAAGCAGGTGGTGAATGAAGTCTATGATCCCCAGAATCACATATGGGCTGAGTTGATCTTCTTCATTGATACTTCCCTTGATGTCCTTTCTCTATAGTTGCTTAAAACGAATGCTTGTGGGATGAAGTCTGCAAAATACTTATATAGTGATTGTGCAATCTCTTTTCAAAACCTCTTGCTGCACATTACAAATGTGCAAGGTAATGAGGTTTTGATCAAATCTTAGACTTTTGATGTAATAAATAATCATGTGTGGTTGTGTTGTGTTGTTTCTTTATGTCACTACTACCTTTTGGCTTTCTAGCATTTTCAATTTTTCTACTTTGTATTGGTCAACACATTGGTTTCTTTAATGGAAGAAATAGAAGAGTGGTGCTCGTTATTTAAAAAAATCAACAGCCATGGTTCTTGTTTCAGTATCGTTGTGGACTTTGGAGTAACACCCACCAAGCCCACATACCACGATCCAGGAAATCAACCATCTGACATTCGTCACGTAGCATCAATCCTATTCTCCGTGTAACATAGCGAATACCACGCAACGCACGCTGCTACATGGGCCGACACATTTTGTTGTTTCTCTTGTATGCTTTCCTTCAGTTTTCGGAACCTTCGCTAAAACTATATTCTTCTTCGTGTCTGTGTGTTTTCTATTGAAACATTTTAATACAATGTCATTTTTAACAATTTAGAATATTTTTCAATTTATTATATTTAATTGAATTCGTGATTTTTTTTATTTCATAATATTTGAAATTCTTGAAATTTTTCCAATTATTAAACATTTTGTGAATTCATGAAATGCTTTTGAATTTATGAATATTTTTTTGAATTTGCGAAATTTTCATGAAATTTGAACATTTCCAAAAAATTTAAACATTTTCAAAACAATGCATCATTATTTTAATTCTTGAATATTTGTGAAATTCAACAATATTGTTTTGAATTAGTGAACAATTTTTGAATCCGCAAACATTTCTTGACATTCACAACATTTTTAAACGTATGAGCATGACCATTTTCTGAATTAGAAAACATTTTAAAATTCAGCAATACTTGGTTTTTAGTTGGTATTTTTAGAAAAAAAAAACTGGTTCAAACTTGTTGTAGTGGTAGAGGGACGAGAAAGAAACAACTGAAAGAGCAAAATATAGTTGTTTAGTATATACTTAGAAATGAATGAAAAACAGTTAAGAAACATACAAAAAAGAATGAAACACTCGAGTTGACCGACCATATAAATGGCTACGCTTGATTGCCGCAATCGCTCAGGGGTTGCCTAAAGGCGAGTGCAATACTGACCGGCTCAGCACACCAGGCAACAGCCTCGCTTATGTTTTTTTCACTTCCAAATATTCGATATATATGTTACAAAAAACACTTTCCAAAAATCCTTTCAAATATTTTAATCAAACATTTGAAAAATGTTAAATGTTTATACACAAAATGTTTCTCTGGAATACAAAATATGTATACAATGTGTATGAAAAAAGTTGATCATGTATTTTTGAAAAATTCATTAAGCATTTAGAAATTGTTAGTCAAGTATTTTAAAATTGAAATCAAGCATTTGATAATTTTAAAATCTATATCGAAAAATGTATATAAAACATATACAATGTGTATGAAGAATTGTTAATCAAGCATTTTTTTAGTCTACTAATCAAGCATTTGGAAATCTTAAATCTCTATAGAAATATGTTTCTTATGTATACAAAAAATATACAATGTGTAAAAAAGTTAAACATGTATAAAAAATATTCCTATTGCATAGAAAATATACAACATACATTGAATAAAAGTAGAAGACAACAATTATATTTGGGAAAAATAATTTTGAATTTAGAAGATATTAAACATGTATATAAAATTATTCATGATGTATACAAAAAATATATATTGTGTGTGGAAAAATATTTGTTTCCCATTAAAGAATGTCACCGTGTATTTTTTAAATGGATACCATGTATTCGTAAAAAAAATTCAAAACTTTTGTGTAAAAAAATACATGATCTATTAGAAGGCACTTAAAAACGAGAAAGAAACAAAGAAAAAAGTGAAAAGGAAAAACAGTGAAAACGGAAAAATAACAAAAAGAAAATCAAAGAAAATGAAGACCAAGAAAGAAAGAAAGAAAGAAAGAAAGAAAGAAAGAAAACCAACATATAAAGAAGGAAAAAAGAAAAAAAATGTTGATGACAAAAAACCAGGGCATAATGAAGAAGAAAAGGAAAAAACCAAAGAAAATTGGCGATGAAATATAAAACAAAAGGAAAC